CAAAAGTGGGAAATATTTTGATTAGCAATATTGAACAAAGATGTTAAAAATAATGTTTTGAACAATATGCAACCTTTTATTTTTCACTATACGTCCCCTTTAAGGAGTTGAAGGGTTGGCCTCTAAATATTTGTTTTGCAAATAACTCGAAAACAAAAGAGAATCTCTGAATAGTTGTTGAACAAAAAGTGTTCAAAATCCTGAGAGCTTTAAGATGAGATCAAGAAAAAAGGGGCTGGGCGCTCAAATTAAGGGCCCAGAGGGGCCAAAAGCATTTTTTCGATAACTCTTAAGCAGTCAATATTTTGTTATACACTGCCGAAGCAAAAATGTTTATCTCAACAATCTACAACTATATTTTATAATTTGAATGTCGTATGGTGCATAATAAGGGGCCATAAGGGGCCAGAATGCTAAATCTTTGATGCTTTATATCTCAAAAGTGGGAAATATTTTGATAAGCAATATTGAACAAAAGATGTTCAAAATAATGTTCTGAACAATATGCAACCTTTTAATTTTCGCTATACGTCCCCTTTAAGGAGTTGAAGTGTTGGCCCCTAAATATTTGTTTTGCAAATAAATCGAAAACAAAAGAGAATCTATGAAAAGTTTTTGAACAAAAATGTTCAAAATCCTGAGAGCTTTAAGATGATATGAAGAAAAAGGGTTTGATCCCTAATATTAGGGGCCCAGAGGGGCCAAAAGTCAAATTTTTAAGTCTTAATGTTCAATGTCTGTTTACAGACTATGGAGGCAAAATTGTTTTTTTTTTCACAATCTTTATCATTATTTTAGAATGAAATTCTCAATCAAATCTTATCTTATCATGAATCGGACGGAAGACCCACTCGTTGCTCGCAACTAGATCGTATCTAGTTATTCTTTTTTTTCTTCTACTTCCTAGTCGCCAACTTTGAAGCCTCATATCTCACTCATTTCTCAATTGATTTCGCTCAAATTTTCAGAGGTACTACAAGTTACTAAACTCTCTCAGAATATTGTTAAAAATTTCAAAAAGTCACTTTCGGTTTTGAGTTATTTCCCTTAAAACGAAAATTTATAGGCTTTCGTTTCCAGACAAAGGCTCAGAGACGGCTAAAGCTAGAGCAGAAAATCTACTGATTTTAGATGATACAAAGATTGAAGTTGTGCACATCGGTTTTTGTTTTTCAATTTCTCTATTCAAAATGGCGCTATATAGGGGTCAAAAATCAGAACGCTTAAAAGAGCAAAAAATTACTCTTATTTTGCTTTTTATCTTCTAAACTAAAAATATTTTGTTAAAATATATAGAACATAATTTGTGCAGAATTACAAGATCTTTCAAACGATGTCTCGGAAAAAGTGCTGGTCCATTAAATTAAGGGCCAAGAGGGGCCAACAGATTTTCCTTTATATCTCAAAAACTATTGAGAATTTGTTATACGTCAAAGAAGCAAAGTTGTTCAAAATGTCAAGCTCAATCTACCGAGGTCGTCGAAGTACGTCCGGCGACGTCACTTCCGGCCCAAACCGGAAGTAGTCGCAAAACACATATTTTGCCATTCTTGACAAGTTTTTGGGTAACATCTGTCACTGGGGGGCATAAAAATTAAATTTCCATCCATCGTCGTCACTTCCGGTCAGACGGGAAGTAGCACAAATGGCTGATTTTTGCATTAAATAACATAGAGTTTGAGGATTTAAACAATTTTAGGACGTTATTACTTATTTTTGTAAAAATGAAAGTTACTTCCGGTCAAACAGGACGGAAGACCTTCTTGTTGCTTTGCAACGAGCTTTGCTCTAGTTATAGATCTTATGGTGATGTTATCATAACTGGTGACCTTAACAGTAGTATTTTAAGCCATTTCAATACAAATGCTACAAAATCCAAACTGCTGATAGACTTAGTAAACAAATGTGAACTTTGTATGCCTGTTAGAGATTGTCCCTAAAAAAAAATGCTTGACTATGTTCTGTTTAACAAACGTATGTTAGACTCATTACTCTCCTATCGAATTTTTCGAGGTGACTTTTGTAATACATCTGATCATTTACCTATATTAGTCTCATTTAAGTTTGAACACCCTCGCTACTGTCTACAAACCACGAATTTAAAATTACCGCCTTTGCACATAGCGACCTCTAACGATTTAGACTGCTATAGGTCATCTATGCAGCCTGAGCTTGGCAATATGCTAGAGTCTGAAATATTTTCAGTTGCTGATATGAACTGCTTTTATCAAAAACTTTGCAACATTATTATCAATGCTTAAAATAAATACATTCCTCAACTCAAACTCTAAAACGCCGTAAAGCCCTCGGACCAGACCTTATTACCTACGAGCATCTAATTTTAGGTGGCGATCACGTGATTCAATGTATCGCGAAACTCTTCATCTCCATTATACACCTTGGGAAAATAACAGAATTCTGGAAACAAGGATTCATCGTGCCTCTATATAAAGGTGGAGACAAACCAAAAACATCTTGTGCTAGCTATAGGCATGTTGCTTTACTATCATGCTACCTTAAAATTTTTGAAAATGTAATACATTCGAGAATTCGAGATCATATCATCAAACCTGACCATTTTCCCTGCAAACAACAGCAAGGATTCCAAAAACAACTTGGTTGCTTAACCGCCTCGTTTAACACACAAGAAACAATTTTTCATAATATCGAGCAAGGCAGCAATGTCTATATCAGCTTTCTAGATAGCTCGAAAGCTTTCGACACGGTATGGAGACAAGGCCTCCTCGTTAGACTATACGAACTAGGTATTTCGGGTAAGCTCTGGTCAATCATGAATGACTGTAACACTGATACATCTAGTGCAATCGTCGTTAACCAAAAACAGTCCAAATGGTTTCCAGTCTTACAAGGAGTGCGACAAGGTGGAGTTTTGTCATCTTTTTTTATATCTTGTGTACATCAATGAACTTGTTACCAGCCTTGAAAAATCTAGCATAAATACCGGCATTTTGGGGATAACTAGTAATTGTTCTACATTAGCAGATGATATTGCATGCATTGGAATAACCCCAGCTGCCTTACAAAATATGCTGAATAAATCACACGAATATTCTAGAATTTGGCGCTTTTCATGTAATGCTCAAAAATCATCCATACTACAGATCCGTTCTAAAGGCGCAAAATTAGATCCAGACTGTACTTAGATACTAGGTAACATCACAATCCCTTGTTCCCAAACTTATAACCATCTAGGGATAATCATTAACAATAAGCTTAACCTCTCGCATAGGATTCTTTCAGCGTGTCGCAAAGGACAGAAATCATATTATGCGCTGAACAATATTGGATCGATCTATCTTAATCCGCTCACTTTATCTCATCTGTATAAGTCAGTTGTGCTACCCACAGTCCTCTACGGTTGCGAACTATGGAACAACTTTTCTACAAGTGATTATCAACGCCTGAATGTTTTTCAACATTTCGTTTGTGAAAATGCTCAGAATCTCCCCACAAAGACAAGATCCGACAGCTGTGAAAGTACTTTCAATGTTCTACCTATCAAATTCGAAACTGATGTCCGTAAACTGCTTTTTCTCGGGCGACTTTGTCGCATGGATCACCGTTCTCTCCCTAAGAAAGTCTTTTTGACACGTTTATATTCATTTTTGGAAGGCATATCCACAAAACAACTTGGTTTCATACCTGATGTTTTCTCAATTTTATCCGTTTATGATCTTACCGAATACCTGTGCACCTGGCTCACAAATGGTTCATTTCCAATGAAACATGTCTGGAAAAAGATTGTGAGATCCGCAGTATCAAAACATTGTAAATCACAACGGGACAATAGAATGCTGAAAGACAGTGATTTTCACCGCTCCCTGTCTATAACCCAGAATCAGAGACCCTCTTTTATATGGACAGTTCCTTCCAACTCTTATGAAATCCAGTTGTGTAAATTTATTTGTAAACTCATATCCAGTCCTCCTGATAAGACTCCAGACATCTGCAGATTTTGTGGCAAAATCTTTCTAGATATATTCATGCATATCACCTGCTCTTGTTCGCTAACTGCAACTCTACGTAATTGCTTATGGGAAGACATTTCTAACAACTTTGACGTCCACCTCTCTGCAGAAATCTGTGCAATGGCAGATGACGAAATATTTGCTCTCCTTTTTGGACGCGATTCCGTTCACTTGCTATCTGAAGAAGATGTCCGACAGTTTAAAATGAACAATTTTCGTTTCATAAGAAATGTTGCCACGTGGTACAACCGAGCCCTTCCAATTCTCTAGCAAATTGTCAGCGGACCACACACACACACACACACACACACACACACACACACACATTCCTAGTGGCCTTCAGTTTACAAGTTTGTGAATATAGAAATTTTATTTCCATATTTATCTATTTATTTTTTTATATTTAATCTTTTCATTTATTTTCCTATACCTTTTTTTCTATTTTGCTCGTTTTGCTATTTATTTGCATGTATTGTCTTCATTGTATATATTGTCATGTTGTATGCTAACCTTATTTTGTATTTGTCCTTGATTGCATATTTTTGAATTCATCTTTTTGCATAATCCTCTAATGAGGGAAATAAAGGATGAATGAATGAATGTCAAGTTAATTGTAATTCAAATAATTACTTTTTGAGTTAATTGACCTCATCCCTGGTATTTATACGTTTTATCACTGACGCATTACAGACGTGTTTCCTACCCGACTTCCTGTAAGTGATTACATAAAAAAAATTGACATGAGACATTTTCAAAGTGTATAAAACATTATCCATTCTATTTTACAAAAAAACTTATACTTATTTTTTTTCCTATTTTTAAATTTATATGGGTGCAATTACTAGTCCCAAGAAAACCATTGAGATATGGGAAGTTAAGGCGAGTTACGTTCGTTCATAAGATGTCGGTTTTTCTCTAGTAATCGGCTAATTATAATATGTATGAACTAAATCTTTATTAGACTGAGGTTCCTCTTTGATTGCACGTACATTAATAATCTTTTCCTTCTAGATTGGCGTCCCTCTTTGACCTCAAAATATGGCCAGCTCGCCGTATGCATCGACAGAGGAGACGACAAACCTTAACCGAGTGTGTCGACTTCTACTGGGTCCGTGTACTGATCAACTTCGTTTTGCATTACGTAGATACGTTCATCCTGCATCCCTGACTGTTACCATACGTCCGATAAAACATAAAATTTTACCTTTCTTATCAAAAAAACAAGAACGTCTTGTTTTACCAGAAGGTACTACTAGATATAGGGGCAATTATGATGATATGGACATCTCCTTACTTTACACAATGTTAAGAAGCATGTGGTTGGTACATGGAATACCATGGATGTATAATCATGATAAGGTCAAACATGAATCTGCTCATATAGAAAGTATTCATTTTGTCAGAAATAAATGTGGTGGGCATGCTACGAAAGACTATCTTTCACATACAGAATTTAAAACCTACTGGTCGACCCTCAGATCAGCTGTCGAAAACCTTGATAATATTTACAAAACCAATTACCTGGAAGGTGTTAAATTTCTATTAACTGAAGAAATGGACCCAGTACAAGGCCAACGTTACCGAGAAGAAATAAGGAAACAATATGAAGAAGAACAAAAAACAAAGGAAATGATTGGTAAACTCACAAGTAAGTTAAATTATGGATTTATCATGAAAGAAAATAAATAGGTAAAGTGCACTGATAATAGCAGTACCAACACTATAACCTTTAAAAAGTCATTCCCTTTTTTACAAAACATTTTCTTATGTTTTACACATGTAAACTTAAACATTTTTATTGATAAAATACAATGTTTAGCTCCGATCCTCAGCCAGGAAGGACAACTCTTTAATTCATAATTTAATTAAAAGTCTCAAAATGATGCTTGAAAATTAAATCTTTTCATGCAACTATTTTCATTATATGCCTCTCTATTTGTTTAAAGGTTATTTGAAGTTCTCAGAAAGGTCTGATTAAAAGTTTTACCCCGTAATAGCATTTTATTATAGAATTACATATATCAAGAAAATAAAGTTCATTTTAATCTAACCATAGATACCAATGTTTCTTAACATTCTATGAAATTAGAAATGATTTATGGAGCTTTGCAATGACAGGGGAATTTTTATACACTTTGTAAAATGGTTGAAGTAAACAAAAGAAACAAGCATTCTGAGAGTATTGCATAAGCAATACATGTCCCCTACCGGATTCCCCTTTTTCTTCAGGATGTCATTTTTTAATGTGCAAAAGTCATGTCCAAGGTTAAGCTGAAAGATTTTCAAGTTGTAAATGCCTTAAAACTAATAAAATAATCAAAATTAAGATGACAATTCAACTCATTTATCCATCGTCTTTTCCTCGCTTCATATTTTTGTCGACAATCGGAAGTTAGCGCAGTTCGAACCCGATCTTAATAAGCGATTATGAAAAATATTCAAAATGCCATAATTCTGTCAAAAATCAATGAAGCGTCGCGAAATTCAAACTTGATCTGTAACTCATTAAGATACATTAACGTACCAAAATTCAGCTCAATATCTGCAAGCGTTTAGAAAAAAAGTGCGGAAAACCAAGTGGGACAGACTGACAGGGACAGACAGACGGACGGACGGACGGACGGACGCAGAGGAAACCTATAGTCCCCTCCGGTTTCACCGGTAGGGGACTAATTAAAGAACATTATTTGTATAAAAATTGTAGAATTTCTTCAAAAGCCTGGATATCAATGATTTTTATTTTTGAAATGATCGAATTTGAATTGGAAAATGCATAGCAGGTGTTTTATTCGCAATTCTTGAAAATATATTTGAGATTTACTAATTTTCTCTATATTTTATGATTAACTTGAAAGATGGAGATTAAAGAATTATTATGGGTAAAAATACGTTACTTTGAAAATTCAGAGACATTTTTGTAAGCAATTTCAGTCAATGATAGATTTTCAGAACCTGAGGATCGAAGTACCTTAGGTTGAGAACCTTTCTTCAAAAAATATATTGATAAAAGTAGGACGAACAAAATTACCTTAGAAAACATTATCTGTTTTGCAGAAAAAATGGAGAAAACAGGGAAAGAAGTGAGTGCGATACCAGTGCATTATCATAGGCAAAAATCATACAATTCTATACTTGTCATGTATTTTGATTTAATGTCAGAGCAAAGCATACTGCAAATAGACAATGCAAATAATTATGAATATCTTAATAAACTAGTTCGTGAACTTGCACGTAAAATAGAATATGGATTTTCCATGGAAAGGAAAATCTTTAAAAGTAACTGATAATGGTAGTGCGAACAAAATTACCTTAGAAAACATTATCTGTTTTGCAGAAGAAATGGAGAAAACAGGGAAAGAAGTACAGGAAACGAAGGGTAAAGTATTAAATTACAATTTCATATACTGTAATTCATAATACAATTTATTACAATTTTACCCGTGAAATACTGTAATATAAATAGAGAATATTGCAAACTGAAATCCATATCATATGTCATATCAGCCCGAGGGCCGGAGGCCCGGGGGCTGATAAGGGGCCTGAGGGCTGATGTGACATATGATATGGATTTTAGTATGTAGTATTCTATTTATCATATATTTAAAACATTTAATATGCGAGTTTACATATAGTCATTGAAGAATGTTTCCTGCTTGTTTATGAAATTTTTCTTTAAAATGTCATAGAACCAATTTTAGGTAACTGACAAAAAAAAAAAATAAAGCTACAAAGGTCATTGAAGAATTATTTCACATGAATATTTAAATAAAATTAAGTAAATTAACTTTTAAACTGAATACAAACGTTACTTCCGGTTTGATATGGATTTTCGGCCCGTCGGTCCGATACGTGATATGGTTTTTTGGACCGGTCCGTGATATGGGGTATTGTGACGTCACCCGTATCACACCGTGCAGAATTGGTATATTTACTACTAAGTATATGATAATTATTCATTGAATAAAAAATGATATCCTGTCACAGTTTAAAAGTATATCAAAATGATATCCTCTCACAGTGTCAGAAGTGCGGGAAAACTCTAAATTTCCCCTTCCCAAAACGAAGTTTGTTGTAAAAAAAACCTTCTTTGACCTAATTTGAGATAGATAGAAATAAATAAACCATTCTGACAGCGAATTAAACTGTCAAATTTTCAAAAAATATGTTGCTAAATCCACGTTTATAGTGTTTTCACTTCACTAGCCATGACGTCTCAACCGCTCAACTATGGCGTCATGTAACCTTTGAATGTATTACAAATAGACATAGGAAAAGGGAAAAGTAAAAAATATTAAATGAAATAAATAAAAAAATTCAATGTTTTTTAGTTGAATATGGAATATTATATGGAATTCCACATTCAACTACAAAACATTGAATATCCTCTATATATATAATGGATTATGTTGAAAATTACGCCATACGATGAGCCAGATACGAAAAAGAAGACGTTGATACCTTGTAATAATGAATTAAGTGTATCAAATCCATGTAAAAACCGTTCGATTTTCGTTTCCAGCGCCGCGTCAAACCTAAGACGTAAAATAGGTAGTGACTGTTCCTTCACCAAGCGCCCGGCATCAAATGTGAAAGTCACGGGTCCTTCGGATATGACCTTTAAGACGAAAGTCCCGTGTCACGGTAGGCGCTGGATCGATAAAGAACCCTCACTGCTTAATGGCCCTGAGTGCCGAGTATAGGTCTAAATTTGAAGCCGTTCATCGGTATACGGTGACGTCTCCATACGAGTGAAAAATTCTCGAGAATTAATTCTACAAGTGGTAATCCTACTTATACTCATACTTCCCTTTCTAAGGAAGAAATTTTTCAAAATCACCTGTCAGTTTTGAATACTTTTAATATTCCACAGAGCCAAAATGAATTTGAACTACCTTATATATATTAGATTCCGAAACCTTCATAAGAATCCTTACAAAGATACATTACAGGTTCTAGTAAATGTTCAACCAAGCCTCTTTCGTTACTCCTCACTAAGATATTGACAGTAGTGAAGGAAAAACTTCAAGAGTACTGTGCAACTATATATTCTAGAAGTGGTGTGAATCAGATGTGGATACTTAAAAATTCTAAAAAAAAACTTTTGGACAATTTGAAATCAGAAGATTTTACAAAAATCAACAGCTTAAAAACTTACGACTTTTCAACTTTATACACAACAATCCCCCACGACAAATTAAAATCCAGGCTTTTTGATATCATTAACAGCTGCTTCTTCAATAAAAATGGAACTCGTAAATTTGCTTACCTCGTCATTGGTCATTTGCAAAATTATTTTTTAAAAAAGATTCTGATTGCACACATAAGTACTCTGAAGTTGACATCAAGAAGATGTTTGAGTTTCTGATTGACAATATCTATGTGGTTTTTGGAGACCAGGTATTACAACAATCTATTGGAATTCCCATGGGTACAAATTGCGCTCCGTATTTAGCAGACTTATTTTTATATTCATATGAAGCAGAATTTATGCAAAATCTTATGTGTGAAAAGACGAAAACACTTGCTGTAGCCTTCAACTCGACATTTAGATATATCGACGACGTTTTGTTAATTAATAATGATAATTTCAATTCCTACGTCGATACGATATATTCTGGTGAGCTTGAGATAAAAGATACCACAGAGTCCGACAGTTCTGCTTCATATTTGGATGTTTTACTTGAAAAAGACATTCATGATAATCTAACAACCAAGCTATATGATAAACGTGATGACTTTAACTTTTCTATCGTCAACTTCCCTTACTTATGCATTAATATACCTTCATCACCTGCATACGGAGTACATATATCTCAGTTGATTCGCTACGCAAGAGCATGCTCTACCTATGAACAATTTCTTATACGAGGTAAATTATTGACAAGCAAGTTGATGAAACAAGAATATCAGCAGTTTCGTTTAAAGTCATCATTTCGTAAGTTCTATGGTCGAGACGATGACCTTGTCAGCAAATACAATTTATCATTGAGTCAAATGCAGACTGACGTTTTTCATACCAATTGTTAGTCCATTATTTATACACTGAATTGACAACGGATCACCACCCGTTATTTCCTGATCATGACAACGAGGACACGGTGGATGTGACCGGTCGGCAGGGGATGCTCACTTCTCCATGGCACCTGATCCCACCTCTGAGGTTTCGGAGGTCCGTGTTTGCTCTGCTCATATTTTGTATATTGTTTAATGGACTTTGAGATTGAATACTGTTCGTTATCTCTATATCTTTCGAGAGAAACATAAACAATATACATTCAATCAATCAAAGAACCTTGAGGTACATTGAGAGGTATAAAATGAAAATTGTTGCATGAAAACGTTAAATTTTCTAGCTTCATTTTGAGACTTTTTAAATCAAATTCAAAAATAAACAGTTATCCTACCTGGGTGAGGATCGGAGCACCTTAAAGGAGACTACTTATATTACTGTTTCATTGATCAATAATTTCATCAATAATTTAACTTATTTTAGAAATTGTTCATATGTAGAGCATACTCTTGCATGCTGAATCAACCGAGATATATAAACTCCGTGCTCAGGTGATGAAAACGTACAAAGAAAAGGGAAGTTGACGATAGAAAAAATGAATCACGTTTATCATAGAGATTGGTTGTTAAATTACTGTTAATGTCTTTTCGAAGTAAAACATTCAATATGAAACAGATGTGACGGACTTTAAGTGCCTTTTATACTAGTAACAAGGATATATCGTATCGACATAAAAATGGAAGTTACCATTGCTAATTCAATACGTCGTTGATATATCTAAATTTCGAGTTGAAGGCCACCAGTGTTCTTTTTACGCATAAGATTTTGGACAAATTCTGCTTCATGTGAATACATAAATAGGTTTTCTAATTACGGTATGCAATTGGTACCCATGGGAATTCCAATCGATTGTTAGAAGACCTGTTTTTTTGTTCTTTTTAAAAAAACACATATATGTAATTTGTCAATTTTTTTAATGTCAACTTAAGAGTATTTGTATGTGCATCAGAATGTTTTCTTGTAACAAAATATTTTTGCAGATGACCAATGACAAGGTTAATAAATTTACGAGTTCCATTTTTAGTTTACCTTAGTAAACTCAGGTGACCTATTGCTATCCGTTTTCGTCCGCCGTCGTGTGTTGTGCATCGTCCGTCATGCGTCGTGCGTTAACATTTGAACATTTTCAGCTTCTTCTCTACAACCGCTCAACCAATTTCAACCTAATTTGGCATAAAGCATCTATGGGTGTTGGGGGACAAAAGTTGTGAATTTTATGGAACCTGCCCTCCTGGGGCCTGAGGGGTGGAGCAAAACCCACTAAAATTAATGTTATCTTTAAATATCTTCTTCTTTACTCCTGGACATCAAGCAGTCAAACTGTTTGCATGATTGTAATTAGCATTGAGTCCTCTACCAAAATTAGTTATGTTGAATATTAATAATGCTGCCTTTTTCAAATTTGTGAATTTCATGGCCCCTACCCCCTTGGGCCTGAGGGGTGGGGCCAAAATCACTAAACATAATGCATTCCTTAAAAATCTTCTTCTTTACTCCTGAACATCGAGCAGTCAAACTGTTTGCCTGATAGTAATAAGCATTGAATCCTCTACCTAAATTATGAAATTCATGGCCCTGGGGTCAGGGGTTCTTAAGTGCTAGGGTAGGGCTATATAGATTATATAGTGAATAAGCATTATTTCTTTGAAAATCTTCTTCTCTGCTCCTGGGTATTTACACACAAAATACATAATTCTGTTGAATAATGCTCCCTCTTCCAATTTTGTGAATTTCATGGTCCCTGCCCTCCACCCCCCCCCCCCCCCCCCCCCCCCCCCCCCCTCTCTGGGTGCTGAGGAGTGGGACCATAACCACTAAAATTAATGCAATCTTTGAAAACTTCTTCTTGTAATCAGCATTTAGTCCTCTACCAAAATTGTGAAATTCATGGCCCCAGGGTCAGGAGTTCTAGTGTTAGGGCGGGGCTTCATAGATTATGTAGTAAAATTGCATTATTTTTTTGAAAATCTTCTTCTCTGCTCCTTGGCATTTGATTGATTAATTGTTTATTGTTTAACGTCCCTCTCGAGAATTTACACTCATATAGAGACGCCACCACTCGCCGGTGGAGAGCTTCAAAGTTTGTCCTATACTCGGCACTCAGGACCATTGAACAGTGAGGGTTCTTCTTCGTGGAAGCACCTTCTGCGACACGAGACTTCGGTTTATACGATCTCACCTGAAAGACCGGTCTCCAAGTCCATTGTGGGATTCGAACCCGCGACGTAAGGATTGACGCCTTACTTCGCGACTCTAGAGCAGACGCTCTAACCACTGCGCTACTCGCTGGGCATTTGATGAACAAACCAAATACATAGTTTTGTTGAATAAGGCAGCCTTTTCCAAAATTGTGAATTTCATGGCCCTTGGGTCAGGGGTTCTTAGGTGCTAGGGTGGGGCTATAAAGATTATGTAGTGAAAAAGCATTTTTTTTCTTTGAAAATTTTCTTCTCTTCTCCTGGGTGTTTAATTAAGTATGAAAGTTGTTACTTGATACTCATGTGACATATAAGGCCTCTTGTTATTGAAAACACAGCTGTCAATTATATCAAAAAGTCTGGACTTTAATTTATCTTGGGGAATGTCTGTTTATAAAGTTAAATGCCGTACGTTTTTAAGCTGTGAATTATAGTGAAATCTTGTGATTTCAAATTGGCCGAAAGTACCTTGAAATTATTCACATTTGATTTACACCACTTCATGAATATATTGTTGCAGAGTACTCTTGAAGTTTCTTCTTCACTACTGTCAATATCTTAGTGAGAAGTAAAAAAAGAGGCTTGGTTTAACATTTACTGGAACGCACTACGTATCTTTGTCTGTAGGGATTCTTATAAATTTTCTGAATCTAATATCGAAATGGTAGTTAAAAATCATTTTGGTTCTTTTGGATATCAAAACTTTTCAAAAGTCACACATAATTTTGAAGAATTTCTTCCTTAGAAAGTGAACTATGAGTATAATTTGGATTACCACTTGTAAATTCTAATCCCAGATCTTTTCTTAAATACAATTTTCCAAACGAATAGAATGTTGTTCTTACCTGCCTTTTCAGCAGGGACCAGAACGTACTGATCATGTAATATATATATAGTGGGTTGAGTGGTATAAGAGAAGTTGCAAATAAGAGATGTGTTCCCCAAAGCGTAACAGGCGGACATCCCGGTCACTATGTACCCTCCGATTGCTGAAGTGCTAAATTACAGATTGATTTTTTTATCATTTCTTCAGAATGTTTATTAAGGTCTTCCGTCTTCAGCAGAAGACCTTCTTGTTATTCTTCGGTTTCTTTTTCACTTTTTTCTTACCTATTATTATTCCTTTTTATCTTACCGATTTTGTGCACGCGATTTCTCGAAAACAGCTCAATGGATTTTAATGAAACTTTCAGGACTTATGTAACATTACTTGAACTTGATTCATTTTTTTTCCGTTTTGATGATGTCACTTCCGGTCCGGAAATATTGTCGATTTTATGATTTTTGAAGGGACAGGTTGTCCGTGAATGTTCTAAAAAATGGCTATAGATAGAAACATGAAAATATCAGTTATGATAGTCCTTAGTCTGTAGATGTGCAAAATGAATTTTATTTTTATTGAAATTGCCACACGTCGGCGCTCGCTATCGCTCGAAAATTGTCCTATCGCAAATTTCAAAATTTTAAAAACATTTTCTACGATATCTTTTTACCTGGAAATATTTTTTTAGAACATATAGCAAAAAGAAGTGTAGAATTCCAAGATAATCAAATCAAATAATCTCTTGAAAAAAGGACTGGCCCCTCAAATAAAGGGCCTAGAGGGGCCGAAATTTTTTTTTTATCTCAAAACGTATTGAGAATTTGTAATACATCAAAGAAGAAAAGTTGTTCAAAATATATTCTGGAAGCAAAAAAATAAATTTTCCGTCCGTCATCGTCATTTCCGGTCAAACTGGAAGTTGCAAAAAATGGCTTATTTTTGCATTAATTAACATAGTATCAGAGGATTCAAAGCATTTTTTGGCGGTATTTCTCATTTTTGTTTAAAAAGTCATTCCCTTTTTTGCAAAACATTTTCTTATGTTTTACACATGTAAACTTAAACATTTTTATTGATAAAATACAATGTTTAGCTCCGAACCTCAGCCAGGAAGGACAACTCTTTAATTCATAATTTAATTCATAAAGTCTCAAAATGAAGCTTGAAAATTAAATTTTTTCATGCAACTATTTTCATTATATGCCTCTCTATTTGTTTCAATGTTATTTGAAGTTCTCAGAAAGGTCTGATTAAAAGTTGAAATTTTTACCCCATAAAAGCATTTTAATTTAGAATTACATATATCAAGAAAAAAAAGTTCATTTTAATCTAACCATAGATACCAATGTTTCTTAACATTCTATGAAATTAGAAATGATTTATCGAGCTTTGCAATGACAGGGGAATTTTTATACACTTTGTAAAATGGTTGAAGTAAACAAAAGAAATTAAAGAACATTATTTGTATAAAAATTGTAGAATTTCTTCAAAAGCCTGGATATCAATGATTTTTTGTTTTTTGAAATGATCGAATTTGAATTGGAAAATGCATAGCAGGTGTTTTATTCGCAATTCCTGAAAATATATTTGAGATTTACTAATTTTCTCTATATTTTATGATTAACTTGAAAGATGAAGATTAAAGAATTATTATGGGTAAAAATACGTTACTTTGAAAATTCAGAGACATTTTTGTAAGCAATTTCAGTCAATGATAGATTTTCAGAACCTGAGGATCGAAGTACCTTAGGTTGAGAACCATTCTTCAGAAAATATATTGATAAAAGTAGTACGTACAAAATTACCTTAGAAAACATTATCTGTTTTGCAGAAAAAATGGAGAAAACAGGGAAAGAAGTACAGGAAATGAAGGGTAAAGTATTATATAAAAATTTTATATATTGGTGAGTTGGAAATTAATAATTACAGCTTATTCTGATATCAAAACAAATTACACTTATCTGCAACTAACCGGATGTCTTTTGCTTCTAGTTCTAATTATTAAACTGTGCGATACCAGTGCATTATCATAGGCAAAAATCATACAATTCTATACTTGTCATGTATTTTGATTTAATGTCAGAGCAAAGCATACTGCAAATAGAGAATGCAAATAATTATGAATATCTTAATAAACTAGTTCGTGAACTTGCACGTAAAATAGAACATGGATTTTCCATGGAAAGAAAAATCGTTAAAAGTAACTGATTATAGTAGTACGAACAAAATTACCTTAGAAAACATTATCTGTTTTACAGAAGAAATGGAGAAAACAGGGAAAGAAGTACAGGAAACGAAGGGTAAAGTATAAAATTACAATTTCATATACTGTAATTCATAATACAATTTATTACAATTTTACCCGTGAAATACTGTAATATAAATAGAGAATATTGCAAACTAAAATCCATATCATATGTCATATCAGCCCGAGTGGCCCCATATCAGCCCGAGGGCTGATAAGGGGCCTGAGGGCTGATGTGACATATGATATGGATTTTAGTATGTAGTATTCTATTCATCATATATTTAAAACATTTAATATTCGAGTTTACATATAGTCATTGAAGAATGTTTCCTGCTTGTTTATGAACTTTTTCTTTAAAATGTCATAGAACCAATTTTAGGTAACTGACAAAAAAATAAGACTACAAATGTCATTGAAGAATTATTTCATATGAATATTTAAATAAAATTAAGTAAATTAACATTTAACTTAATACAAACGTTACTTCCGGTTTGATATGGATTTTGGCCCGTCGGTCCGATACGTGATATGGCTTTTCGGACCAGTCCGTGATATGGGGTATTGTGATGTCACCCGTATTACACCGTGCAGAATTGGTATATTTACTACTAAGTATATGATAATTATTCATCGAATAAAAAATGATATCCTGTCACAGTTTAAAAGGATATCAAAATGATATCCTTTCACAGTGTCAGAAGTGCGGGAAAACTCTAAATTTCCCTTCCCAAAACGAAGATTGCTGTAAAAAAAACTTCTTTGACCTAATTTGAGATAGATAGAAATAAATAAACCATTCTGACAGCGAATTAAACTGTCAAATTTTCAAAAAATATGTTGCTAAATCCACGTTTATAGTGTTTTCACTTCACTAGCTATGACGTCTCACCCGCTCAACTATGGCGTCATGTAACCTATGAATGTATTACAAAAAGACATAGGCAAAGGGAAAAGTAAAAAAATTAAATGAAATAAATAAAAAAATTCAATGTTTTTTAGTTGAATATGGAATATTATATGGAATTCCACATTCAACTACAAAACATTGAATATCCTTTATATATATAATGGATTATGTTGAAAATTACGCCATACGATGAGCCAGATACGAAAAAGAAGACGTTGATTCCTTGTCATAATGAATTAAGTGTATCAAATCCATGTTAAAACCGTTCGATTCTCGTTCCCGTCGCCGCGTCAAACCTAAGACGTAAAATAGGTAGTGACTGTTCCTTCACCAAGCGCCCGGCATCAGAAGTGAAAGTCACGGGTCCTTCGGATATGACCTTTAAGACGAAAGTCCCGTGTCACGGTAGTCGCTGGATCGATAAAGAACCCTCACTGCTTAATGGCCCTGAGTGCCGAGTATAGGTCTAGATTTGTAGCCGTTCATCGGTATACGGTGACGTCTCCATACGAGTGAAAAATTCTCGAGAATTAATTCTACAAGTGGTAATCCTACTTATACTCATACTTCCCTTTCTAAGGAAGAAATTTTTCAAAATCACTGTCAGTTTTGAATACTTTTAAGGACGTTCGATCCTGATATTTTGAGCGTATTTCGCGCAGGTCCTTTATTCATAAAATTTAGCATCATTTTTAGGTTCTAACAATAAAACTGAATTCAACAATGCAAATTAAACTATATTCAATGAAAAATCCGCGATTAAATTCCATTCAAGTAGAATTATGCTAGGGACTATATTTTGTGGCGGAAGGTTTTATAGACGAAAATGGTCAGTTTTTTCCATTTGAACTATAATAGTACTGTTAATTTTGGATGCCTATTTTTCCATGCTGGTTGCACACAAAGCTGTTTTTTGCAGTGAAATATGTTATGCTGGTTCTGAAATATCTATTAAATTATTTCTTATGAATTCTTTTAGCAAAGTTTGACAAATATAGTAAATATATTCTGAAAATCCGGGAAAAAATTGAGCCAATTTTAACGTAAAATTCACACTTTTTTGGTAATATCTGAAAATGTACATCATATACCCCCACTTTTGATGTTCTCTTCTAAATATTCAAGATATCTTTGACCTATTTGCTTAAAATCAGAAAAAGTTTAAGACTTTAAAATAATTTTCTTGCCTATTATATTTCCAATGCCGGAAAAATAACATTTTATTAGTGCAGAAAGGTCAAATAATTGATTATGCGAAGCAATTTGAAACTTTTTCTTAGTCACAATTTTTAAGTGTCTTTTTTCAAACATACTTTGAGTTCATTTTGTTTCATGCTTTAATTGGATAAAAATATTGGAGGGAAAACGTCGAAGATGTAATGTTTAATTAAAACACAAATTTCAGTGCAGAAAGGTCATATTAAATGTACTGTAGCGCTAAAAGAAGCATATTGACCCCCATTTTTTTATTTGAATTTTAACTAAGCTATGTATGTAGAAACTAAAAATATACTTGGCAAAAAAAGTTTAAGACTTTAAATATCAGGATCGAACGTCGTTAATACTCCACAGAGCCAAAATGAATTTGAACTACCTTATATATATATATTGGATTCCGAAACCTTCATGAGAATCCTTACAAAGATACATAGCAGGTTCTAGTAAATGTTCAACCAAGCCTCTTTCGTTACTCCTCACTAAGATATTGACAGTAGTGAAGGAAAAACTTCAAGAGTACTGTGCAACTATATATTCTAGAAGTGGTGTGAATCAGATGTGGATACTTAAAAATTCTAAAAAAAACTTTTGGACAATTTGAAATCACAAGATTTTACAACCAGAAGTCTCTGTCGAGACTGTAGCTCTACTGGTTTATACTTAAAACAAAGGAAGAGAAAAGTAGCAGTTGGGACTTGAGACTTTAAATCAGCAATAAATAGAAAAATGATCCTTGCCACTCATCAAAATAAAAACCGATGCACAGAATTATGTATCTTAGTATAGTCTACTTGTATGCCAAGTTATATTGAAATCGAACTAAAACTGTAGGAGGAGTAGCATTTTGAAACAATTTCACAAAAATTTCTATTCTTAGTAACCATGGCAACACCGTTCATTGAAATCAACAACCGATGCACAGAATTATGTATCTTAATGTAGTCTACTTGTGTGCCAAGATATATTAAAATCGGACTAAAACTGTACGAGGAGTAGCATTTTTAAACAATTTCACAATTTGTATTTTTAGCAACCACGGCAACACCGTTTATTGAAATCAAAAACTGATGCATAGAATTATGTATCTTAGTGTAGTCTACTTGTGTGCCAAGTTATAATGAAATCGAACCAAAACTGTAGGAGGAGTAGCATTTTGAAACAATTTCACAAAAATTTCTATTTTCAGCAACCAAGGCAACATCGTTCATCGAAATTAAAAACAGATGCATAGAATTATGTTTCTTAGTGTAGTCTACTTGTGTGCCAAGTTATATTGAAATCGGACTAAAATTGTAGGAGGAGTAGCATTTTGAAACAATATCACAAAAATTTCTATTTTTAGTAACCTCGGCAACACCGTTCATCGAAATCAAAAACCGATGGACAGAATTATGTATCTTAGTGTAGTCTACTTGTGTGCCAAGTTATATTGAAATCGAACCAAAACTGTACGAGGAGTAGCATTTTGAAACAATTTCACAGAAATTTATATTTTTAGTAACCATGGCAACACCGATCACCGAAATCAAAAACCGATGCACAGAATTATGTATCTTAGTGTAGTCTACTTGTGTGCCAAGTTATATTGAAATAGGACCAAAATTGTAGGAGGAGTAGCATTTTGAAACAATTTCACAAAAATTTCTATTTTTAGTAACCTCGGCAACCATGTTCATCGAAATCAAAAACCGATGCACAGAATTATGTATCTTAGTGTAGTCTACTTGTGTGCCAAGTTATATTGAAATCGAACCAAAACTGTAGGAGGAGTAGCATTTTGAAACAATTTCACAGAAATTTCTATTTTTAGTAACCATGGCAACACCGTTCACCGAAATCAAAAACCGATGTATAGAATTATGTATCTTAGTGTAGTCTACTGGTGTGCCAAGTTATATTGAAATAGGACCAAAATTGTAGGAGGAGTAGCATTTTGAAACAATTTCACAAAAATTTCTATTTTTAGTAACCATGGCAACACTGTTCATCGAAATCAAAAACCGATGCACAGAATTATGCATCTTAGTGTAGTCTACTTGTGAGCAAAGTTATATTGAAATCGGACCAAAACTGTAGGAGGAGTAGCATTTTGAAAAATTGTTTACAGACAGACAGACAGACAGACGGACGGACGACGGACGCATTACTATCGCATAAGCTCTTCTGGTCTCTGACCAGTAGAGCTAAAAATCAACAGCTTAAAAACTTACGACTTTTCAACTTTATACACAACAATCCCCCACGACAAATTAAAATCCGGGCTTTTTGATATCATTGACAGCTGCTTCTTTAATAAAAATGGAACTCATAAATTTGCTTACCTTGTCATTGGTCATTTGCAAAATTATTTTGTTAAAACAGATTCTGATTGCACACATAAGTACTCTGAAGTTGACATCAAGAAGATGCTTGAGTTTCTGATTGACGATATCTATGTGGTTTTTGGAGACCAGGTATTACAACAATCTATTGGAATTCTCATGGGTACAAATTGCGCTCCGTATTTAGCAGACTTATTTTTATATTCATATGAAGCAGAATTTATGCAAAATCTTATGTGTGAAAAGAAGAAAACACTTGCTGTGGCCTTCAACTCGACATTTAGATATATCGACGACGTTTTGTTAATTAATAATGATAATTTCAATTCCTACGTCGATGCGATATTGTTATGGGTCATAATAACCCTTAAAGCCAGCAAAGATCAATCACACAGTTTAAACTTAACAATAATTTATTTACAGTAATATACAAATCATTAAGTACAAACTTAGCAAAAATCTAAAAATACATACATCAGAGTGTCTGTTGCTGGCTTATAATCAAATTTAACGGTTCAATAAACAAAATTCTGACAATAAACTGCAAAAGTGCAAGAAATTCTTAATCCCGGACGAGCCCCCAATTCTGTTATGGGTCAGAATTAC